AAGTACTAAAATATATTCATCACGATTAGTATATGAATGATAGGGTAGGGCTCTTTTGGTATCCATATATAAGTAATACAAGTACTAAAATATATTCATCACGATTAGTATATGAATGATAGGGTAGGGCTCTTTTGGTATCCATATATAAGTAATACAAGTACTAAAATATATTCATCACGATTAGTATATGAATGATAGGGTAGGGCTCTTTTGGTATCCATATATAAGTAATACAAGTACTAAAATATATTCATCACGATTAGTATATGAATGATAGGGTAGGGCTCTTTTGGTATCCATATTCATCCATATTTGTATAGATTTTAGATAGCCAAGGAAAAGAAGGAAGCAGGAAAAAGGAAGTAATCCAGACCTAAGAAGGTGAATTGGAATTGTCAGAACTAGCAGAGGTACAAGTTTGAGTCCATTTTGCATCTCTTAGCCTACACAGAGAAGTTTTATTGTTTTCTGTAGACAATGTTAAAAATAATGACATTGTGAGATGACAGCTATTCAGAAATAGAATTAAGAGGGTGATACATTTTTCGTTGGACAAATAATCAAGTGTGTGTAAATAAATTTACACTGAACTTGTTCAGGTCAAGTTATTCCGTACAGTTGGCTTAGTAGCCTGATGTCAATAAGAACATTACAATAACCGCTTGGGAGGTTGAGAAATTTGGGATTGTACAGCACATAGGAGCCAAATGCTTTTGTATACAATTAATAAGTCTGACAGAATCTATTGCAATTAGATTTTCCATTACTGCTGCTCAGATTTTTTTTTACTTTTCAAGTTGATTTGTTTATGCTCTTTCTGCAGAAATCTTAAAACCTTGTTTCATTTTCTTTAAATTTCTACATTTTTTTATTCAAATGTGCTCTATCAATACCATTTCTTTAGTTGATTTGAACCAAAGTTTTGGTTCCTGCTGTAGGGATTTTTAAACAATTCTTGTCTGTACAGACAGATTGACACTTATGCAGCAAGTAACTTGGAAATGAGTTTATAGTAACTATGTACTGTGGTACTTCCTTTGGCACTTTCAGATGTTTTCTAAATACTTCATTTTTTTATGCAAGTTGGCATGTCAAAATCAGTGTTTTTCTCTTTGGGACAAGCATAGTATGTCTTTTGTTGACAGATAACAGAGGGGTCAGCAATTTTGCCATGGCTTAGAATTAGATCAGTATTTGGCTGCCAGGCTGGCTGAAAAATTAAATAGCCAGGCTAAGGCCAACAGCTATGGAAACTATGGGATTACACAAGTTCTTATGGACTTTCATCCTGTTATACCTGCTCGCTATCTATGAAAATCAAAGTTGTAAGGGCTGCTAAATATTCCTTCTGATTACAAGCTCCCTTAGTAGAAATCCTATAGAGAAGATTCCTGATTTCCCATTATCCTGGTTTGGACATGTATCTTGCCCTACATTCTCTATATCTCTGTCCATTAACTTATTTCTATACCTTCTTTGCATTATTTGAAATCGAGGGTGAAGCTTTAAAAATAATTAACTAGAAGCCTTTTCTGGTTATGTCTAGAGAAATTGGTACACTAAGATTTGTGCTGATGTGTTCAGTGGTTCTGTTCAAAAGTAGAGCTAAGAGTGAATGTCTGTACAAGATCATTACATTCAGTCTTTAGACTAAGTCTGTCCTTTAGACTTTAAATTCGTAGCTGCTTAAGGCTTAGAATACTATCCCCAGTAAACCTCAAATATAGCATTTAGGTGATTATTAGTGCTGAAGAAATTTAATTTTGTAGGCTGTGATTATGCTGAATTTGAGTTGTTTGCTTTTCTACTTGAAAACTGCATGAACTTCTGAACATTTTTTTTCTTTTTATAGTTCTCTCTCTCTCCCCCCCCCCTTCTCTCTCTCCCGTTTCTCTGCCATTCTGTAAAATGCTCCACGAAGAGGCAATAATTTACATTCTTATGGCAGGATGGGGTGGATTTTTTTTGTTTTGTTTTTCTTTCTGTTTATTTATAAGACATTTCCTTTTAGTTAGTAAAAGTTTGATCGTTAGGAGGCTCCAGTGATTTTCCTTCCCACCTCTTTCCTCCCTAAAGGGTTCCCCCCTCCCGGCACTCCCTGTGGATCCTTGTGAACTCCAAAAGCTCAGGCAGGCATCACAGCCAAGCCTTGTCACTCTCCGGAGGCAGAAAGGTTCCTTCGTCATCACTTGGAACAGGAACTACAATCATTGTGGTGAGTGCTGTGGATTTAGAAGTTAGTATGCGGATGCTGTTAGTGGCGAAGTATTTTCTCTCTCTCTCTTTCTCGGTTTTTCATATCACACTAGAGGCTGAACATTTTAACAGCTTTCACAGAGCTGAGAAACTTTGCCTTATATTCATTGCTAGCGACAGAACAATCAATACTGTTTAGGTTAACTTTAGCTTGCCTTGGTGGGCTTTCCTGCTGTCACCAGTGGGTGTCAGCCTTGGCAGTAGCTAAAAGGTGCTTGTAAAGAGACAAGAGTGTGCTGCTACAAGGAGTTGGAAAAAAGAGAAAATATTAATCCTTCACTTCAACTCTTTGTCTGGCAACTTTTCATGCCTGTGTTCTCAGCATTTACATTATGTTCTGAAGACCTGATTGTCCAGCCAAGCATAAAAGAAACTCTCCAGTGAATGCATAATAAAAGAAAATACTTCCATGAAAGCAACCTCTGGGAATAGAGCGAGGCGGGGCGGTGGGAAACCATTTATAAATGAGACTTCCACGGGAACAGTACAGGAGGATTTCATATATTTTTTTCAAAACTTTATCCCTTCTGTTCTTTTTCCTAGTGAGATGATATGAATGATTCACATGTGTTATTCTGAAAGAATATCATATATAGGCTTTATAGCTGCTATGTTTTTTCCTCTTCATGAAGAAAAGCAGCTGGAAAAGGGGGCATTGAGGAGGAAAACTCCCAGTGAGAAGAGACTTACGGAATTCTTTTCACTCCGCCCTTTCTTCATCTTTGCAGCCCCTGGAACTGTGTATTTGTGCATCCACAAATCTATGTATGTGTATGTCCATGTATATGCTGACACACACATATATAGAGTTTTTAATAGTTAAAACAGCCATAAAATTGCAATTATTTAATTAAAACATATATCTAACCATTAATTAGTTGCATCACTGATATTAAAAGCTACATTTATGTAGTACATTTTCTAGGTTTAGAATAAGCAGTGAATATACATATTACTTTTACTTAGTAGTAAAAATAGCTTAATATTTTTTTAAAAAACAAATAGCATTTTTAAAAATAGAAATCTATAATCTTCAAAAATTGAAATAATTCAGAATACAGTACTAGAAAAATCTTAGCTCAAAAACTCCAGTATCTCCATTTAAATAGAAAACAAA